CTATCAATATAATTATTATTAATCTATGTGTTAATTATTCTATGTATTAATCTTCATCTATGTGCTAAATATTATTATTCTATCTAAAAAGAATATCTATCCTTTATTTGTGAAATTAATTGTTAAGAATCAACTTTGATTCAGTTGTTACTTTTTAATCCATCTGTGTATTAAGTATAAAGATTTGAACGCATCGATCCAATTCATAAAATTCCTGTATTCTGTTGTTTCTCCTTGAACTTTAGGCTCTCACATTCTTTTGTGATAAATAGAATTTGATAAATTTGATCCTCAATTAAACTCCACGATCTACTTCGACGTTCCAGGGATCAACTTCTCCTTAATTGATCTCGATTTCTTAATTTTAATTTCATTTTTATCCCCCCTTTTTTTTTATTTTTTATTGTCTATTGTTATCGTACCTTAAAGAGATCAATAAACGAGCAAATAAATTATAATTGTAAAAATGTCTAATCAGCGGACTGGATCGCTGTTAAATTTTAAGTTTCGAAAGAAGGAAAAAGTATAAAATTCGGTGAAAAAAAACTCAAAGGCGAAAGAGAGAAGGGAAGTGAGTGACTAGAGCGTGAGAGGAAGTTATCTGCTAAAAAGAATGGGTTTAGTTTATGGCAATGATTCTAATTTGAACGTTCCTCTAAACGCAAGGAATGGTTTTTAAACCATGTAAAAAATAAATGGACAAAAAGATCACTTCCCTGTGTGGAGAGGCAGCAAATAAGAACAACTATGAAAATATAGACATACGTTTATATTCGTGCATGCAACATGTGTAAATATATTTCGCTAAGCTTTCTCCGAATTTCCTCAAATTTCTCTCGCGTGATCGAAGTAATTCTTCGTTAAATTAAATGCACAGCCACGTGATGCATTTCAGAAACAACCGCGCCATGTTGTAACACTGTTGAGACAATAAGGCTTTGAAAGTGAAAAATTGATTGCTCAACCACACCTTAAAAATTCGACCTTTCACCTGTCGTTGTAAAAAAAAAAAAAAAGAAAAAAGACTCGTGAGAAGAATGATCGAAAAAGAAGATGAGAGAATCACAACTCGGGTAGTTTTATTTTACATGTTTTATTTAACCACGTGTAATGTTTCGAGAGGGACAACTACAATAATTCAGATCGTTCGTTACTGACAAGGTACGTTACATACAGCTGTGCGCATCCGTATAAAATGTGAGGAATGATATGTGCCGTATAATTTGTAAACGCAACCGACAGAAAGATGTGAACGCTGGTTAACTGGATTTGCGGAGGCACAGCACAGGTAAAGTGTTAACAAGCACTTCTCCCTTGCGTGATCGTTCCAATAATTTCTTGTCTGCGATAATATTAAGTTGTTCCACTTTCCAGTAGATGCAAACGATCGTAGCATTTGATTGCACATGAGTGTATGAAGTGACCCGTTCGTCAAATTTCTAAAATCAATTTGTTCCCCTTCTCAAATGCCAACAAATGAAACAAGAGGAAGAAAAAGGGAATAGAAAATCCTACGAATAGAAGATCCTACTAATTGTAAATCACGTTGTAATGAAATCGGCGAAAATGCATCTCAACATTCGCAGCGAATCATTGCGAGCCATGATAGAGAAAATCCTACGTTTGTGAATGATAAATACAGTTTATTCGGTGAAACGACAATAACGACGATAATATACTCAACGTGATCATTTCACGAGAATATCACGAGTTCGTAGAAACGTGGAAAAATGATAGAAAAACGTGATCGTACACTGCGGTATAAAAAGCGGTATAAATACTCGGTAATAAATAATTGTACTATTAAAAGCTTTGGAGGAAGCATATCTGTATCTTTCGATCCAGCTTCGAATCAAAGTTGGTTAATAGGTATAGAGATTTCTAGTTAGGTGATTTATATATATATATATATAAATACCATTTACACTGGATATGTACAGAATCACAGCAAGATGAATGTCATTGAT